CAAACACGAGCGCCAGCGACGACAGCGTCTTTTCCCCGCCCGACAGATTCGAAATGTTCTTCCACGACTTCTTGGGCGGCATGACCGAAAACAGGATCCCCTCGGCAAACGGATCCAGCGAATCCACCAGCTCCAACTCGGCATTCCCGCCCAGCGTGATCGTCTGGTACATCTCCTTGAGCTTCGACGAGATCACGCCAAAGCCCGCCATAAAGTTCTCCAGCCGCTGCTTGCGCAGGTCGTCGTAGCGCTGCTTGGCCCCGTCGCGCTCCGCCGTCGTCGCTTCCAGGTCCTTGGCACGCGCCACGAACTCTGCCTCGCGCTTGCGGTACTCGGCCAGCACCGACATGTTGGCTGAGCCCTTGGACACTTTCTCCTCGTAAAACACGATCTGCGCCTTGACCGACTCCTTGTCGATCGCGCGCAGCTCGTCCTCGGGATACTCGGGCAGCGCAAGCGACTCGTCCTCGTCTTCCTCCGACTCCTCCTCAATCGCATCATCCTCGCCTCCCTCGGCTTTGACGGGACGCTTCCTGCCCGCCGACTTGGACTGCTTTGCGGCGCCATCGTTCTCTGCGCCCTCGTCGCCTTCTCGCTTCTCCGCGTCCTCGTCCTCGTCCTCGTCATCGTCGACGTGATGCAGCACCAGACCCGCCAGCTTCTCCTGCCAGTGCTTGAGACGCTTGTCGTTCTCGTTCTGCAGGCGCTCGTTGTCCTCGAGCTTCTGCTTGATCTCCATCTCGAGCGCGCGGAACGAGTTGGCCGACTCGGAGCGCTCGTCGAGCTGCGCCTTGATCTCGTCGCGCTCCTCGGCCTTGGCATCCATGAGGTGCTGCGCCTCGTCCACTTTGGCGCGCACGCTCTCGGCCTCGTTGGCCTTGGCGCCGATCTCGTCGCGCAGCTGCTCGAGCTCGCCGTCGAGCTCGGCCAGCTGCGCCTCGTTCTTCTCGAGCGACTTGGCCAGCTTCACCACGTCCTTCTCCGCCTTGGACTTGGCCACCTCGGCCTTGGTGGTGAGCTCGGACGAGAGCTCGATCTTGTCCTTGATGCTGTCCACCTTGCTGTTCTGCGTGCGCAGCTCCACACCGCCCGCCTCGAGGATCTTCTCCTGCAGAGCCTCGATGTCGCGCTCGATCGCCGAGCTCTTTTCGGTGAGCTTGGCGATCTCCTTGTCCAGCGCGCCCATCTGGCGGTCGAGCTCGGCGATGCGCGAGGCGTCGCCTGCATCCGGCTTGCTCTCGGCCGCAAGCTCGGCGACGCGCCGCTTGGCCTCCTTGACGCGCTGGTCGCCGCTCTCGAGGTCCATGCGGATCTTGTCGAGCGCCACCTCGATCTGCGGTGCACGCCCGCGGTGGCCGTCGAGCAGCGATTCGACCGTCTTGATCGAGGCGACGTGGCTACGCAACGACTCTTCGACCGCATCACGGTCGCGCTCGAGCCGCTGCAGCTGCTCGGGCGACACCTCGTCGGCGGCGAACTTGGAGCTCATGGCGCCGCGCGACACCTTGTTGCCACCGCCGGACATGGTGCCGCTCTTGTCGATGAGCTGGCCATCGAGCGTCACCACACGCCAGCGCTTGGCGCCGTAGGCGATGCGGTTGGCATGCGCGAGGTCCTTGGCGACGAGCGTGTCGCGCAGCTGGTGGTAGAAGGCGGCGGCAAACCGCTGCTCGCGTGGCTTGACCAGGTCGAACAGACGCGGCACATTTTCGGGCGTCTCGATGGGCGCCAGTTGCGCCGCGCTGATGCCGAGGCTGTTGAGCAGGACAAAGTTGGCTCGGCCCAGGTTGTTCTTGCGCAGATGCTCGATGCACGCCTGGCCGCAGTCGACCGAGTCGACGACAATGTTGTTGAGACCCGGGCAGGCGGTGCTGATGGCCACGTCGTACTTGTCGTCGATGACGCCCAGATTGCCGAGACGGCCGTGGAAGCCCTTGATCATGCCGAGTTCGGCCTGGCGCGAGAGGCTCGAGAGGACGTCGCCGCGCGAACGGCTGGCACTCACGCTGGCGCGCGCCTCGTCGGCCTTGGACCTGGCCGAGACCACCTTGGCGCGCATGGCCTGTTCCTGCTGCTTCATCTCGTCGAGCTGCTTCTGGCACGAGGCGATCTTCTTTTCGAGATCGCGGCGCTCCTGGTTGAGGCTCTGCACCTCGTCGTGCTTGGACTGGTTGTCGAGCTCGAGGTTGCGCAGCGCCTCTTTGGCCTCGGCGATGCTCGCCTCCACCTGGGCACCGCGGCTGGCGAGCAGGTCGCGCTCCTCCTGCGCGACGTTCTTGGCGGCGACCTTTTCGCTGATCTTGGCGGTCCAGGGCTGGAGCTCGCGCTGCTTGAGCTCGATGGCGCGGCTGAACTTTTCGGTCTTGCCCTTGAGCGAGTCGCGGATCTTTTCGAGCTCGGCCTCCTCGCTTTCGAGCGAAGCCTCGAGCTTGCGCAGCGCAGCCTCCTCCTTTTCGATCCTGTGCGCCGAGTCCGAGGCGGTGGTTCGGGCTTCGGAGGCGGCGTGGCGGTCGTCGGCGATCGACTTTGCGAGCTTCTTCTTCTTGGACTCGAGATGCTTGCGCTTCTCCTGCAGCTGGACGTCGTCCTTTTCGAAGCGCGCGAGCTCCTTGACCACCTTTTCGCTGCTGCGCGCGATGCTGTCAAAGTCCTTTGCGAGCGCCTTGTACTGCGCTTCGAGCTCTTCGATCTCGGCCTTGGAGCCCGAGTGCTTTTCGACCTCGTCGGCGAGGCGCTTGTTGAGCTTGGCGATGGCGTCTGCAGCGACCTTGATGTTATCGCGGCACTCGAGGCTGTAGACCTGCCAGAGGGCCGACTGTCGCTGGGAGAGCTCGTTCTGATCGCGGAGAAACTCCTCTGCCTGGCGCTTCTTTGCCTCGAGCGCGTCCTTTTCCTTTTGGACGATCTTGAGGCGGCCGAGCTTTTCGGCTCTCTTCTCGTTGGCCTCGTCGACGAGCTTGGCGTGCTGCTCGATGGGCGTCTTGAAGCAGCTGGTGCCGATGATGTCTTCGAGGTACTCGAGCAGGCCTTCCTCGTGCTCGTTCTTTGCGCGCGGTGGCATCTGTGCGATGGACTCGACCTCGCCCTGGAGGATGAGGAAGCGCTTGTGGTCGAGGTCGATGCCCTTTGCCTTGAGGAGCGTGGTGGCCTCGGTAAACGTGGACTTGCGTGCGTTGATAAAGTACTGGGAGGTGTTGTTGCGGTAGGCGGTGCGCGAGACGACGAGCTTGCTGCCGGGGACGACGGTGAATGCGTCGTTGGGCCCGTCGATGATCTCGCGGAACCAGACCTCGACGCTGCAGTGGGGCAGGTTTTCCTTGCCGGCCGAGTTGTGGATGAGCTCGCTGAGCTTGCCCTGACGCATCTTGGAGGCTCTCCAGCCGAAGACGAAGAGGAGCGAGTCGATGACGTTGCTCTTTCCGCTTCCGTTGGGGCCGACGACGCTGGAGAAGGACTTGTGGAAGGGACCGATCTCCTGACGACCTGCGTAGGACTTGAAGTCGATGAGGACCATCTTGTGGATGACGAGACGCTTGACGGGGCCGGCGGGAGGCGCGGGACGTGCGGGTGTTGCGATCTGCTTGAGCAGGTTTGACGAAGGGGTACGAGGCTGACTGAGGGCTGCTGCCGAAGCTTCGGTGGGCTCTGGTGTGCCGGTGCGTGCCTCCTTGAAGGAGGTTTCGGATGCGTCCGAGTCCAAGTCCTGCTCTTCCTCTTCCTCATCCTGCTCGGCGACACGGGTCTTGGCTCGAATGGACGAAGGTTTAGCCGCCTTGGTCACGCGACGTGCCGAGGGCGACTGAGCCTCTTCTGCTTCATCTTGGTCTGAGTCCTCTTCTTCGTCGTCTGAGTCCTGATGCTCGCGAGCAAGACCGAGTGACTCGTCAACGGCGTCCTCCTCTTCGTCCTCCTCTTCGTCTTCGCTCTCGACGACTGGTTTGGCGCGCGATCTGGAGGACTTTGCCGGCTGGGCCGCAGGCTTTGGTTCAGATTTTGCTGCTGGAGCACGGGCGCGTCCAGTGGATGTGCGGGAGGCTGTTGTCGCCGCTGCACCCTTGTGCGCCCGCGAGCGAGGTGCCGGTTTCACCGGAGTGTCTGGCTCGTCGCTGTCTTGATCTTGCTCATCGTCGCTGGCGTCTTGCTCCTGCTCGCTCTCCTCATCCTCGTCTTCTTCGTCTGAGCTCTGGATGCGTCTTCGGGAACGTGATGCGGGTGCTGATTTGGGCTTGGCAGCAGCTGTGGAGGAGCGAGAGGATCGTGAGGCGCGCACCTGAATCGTAGGGGAAGCGGAGGCCGAGGTTGTGGACGATGCGTTGGATGCGATCGAGTCGCGTGCCTTTGCGGCTGCCGCGCGACGGGGCGGCATGGCAATGTGAGAGAGTAAGTGTGAAGAAGGTGGTGGTGGTGGTGGTGGTGGTGGTGAA